CCCCAAAACCCCAAAACCCCAAAACCCCAAAACCCCATTTAGGTTAAGCGTCATTGAAAACCTATTTGTGTTATGCAAATTTTCATATCTACCTGAATGAGAGTTCGTGTAATTAAAATCCTTGTGGTACACTATTGTAAGCACTTAAAGATCTCTGAGGAGCTTCACGGAGTTGCTCTCGCAGTCTATGACTGATCCAATGAGGTCTTCACTGTTTGAATAAGACCGTTTCTCACCAGAAAGAAACTTAAAAATTAAAGATTTAGATGTGAACTAGAACAAGAGATGACATAAAATGTAATTTTTGGAGCATGCCAAAGTATAGGGCTAACTCTAGTGCTCCAAACATGGTTGAAAAGAAACCCCATGCTTGTGTAATTAGCCACTCTAAAGCATAACATCTTTATGAGTGGTAAAGGTCTGCTATTAGTCTTTGAGCCAAATTTTCAGTTAGAATTGACATATTTAGAGGAAACTAGTCCTTCTCACCAGAGCGTTGTGTTGAACGCCCGATCAATATCAAGTTTTTCTCATCACCAAAAGTGATGTTAAGAGCCTTTCGGACCTTTAACAGCACCGAGTAATGGTGAAGTTCGACCCTGGTGGTGACATCCAAACTGAATCCACACAGAAGTGTCGTGATTTTTTAAATTGTCTACTAGGTGAACCAAAAAGAGAAAGACAAGGATTAGCCTTAATGTTTTAATAACCTATTATTATATACTGCTGTGTAGCAGAAAGAAGGAGCTTTCTAGAAGGAGACAAGCTCTTCAAACTCTTCCAACTCAAAGGCCTTGGCCTTGGAGATACCAGAGTCTTTGACGATCGCCTTGATTTGAGCTTTCGTGAAAATTCCAGATTTCTCCAGTCCCAAAAATATGTCTTTTTGGGTGACAACACCGTCTTTATCAGTGTCGAAATAGTTGAAGAGGGTTTTGCAATTTTTTGGGCTGAGTACTTCATACTTATCCATCGAGGCAGTGCAAAACTCAGTGTAGTTTATGTGCTGCTCGCCTGAGTAATTCAGATCACCAATAATCGCATTGATCTCTTTGTCAGAAAGGGAAAGAGCTTTCTTATCAAAAGCATTTCGGAGCTCCTCCTTAGAGATGATAGCGTTCTGCTTCTCATCGATTTTGCTAAATTCCTGGCTGATGGCTGGGTCTTGCGGCATTTTGGTGATGCTGGCGATGACTCTCATACATGCTTTGGTGAACTTGTTTTCTGTGGTAAATCCAGCAAGGGTTTCAAGGACCCTAAGTTCAGCCTCACTGTGGCTATCTTCGGTTGAGTCGTCTCTGACTTGATCGAACCAAGGATGCTCGAGGACTTTCTGGATACTGTATCTTTCCTTCACGTCTGTGCTAATGATCTTTTTGATTAAATTTTTAGCATCTTTGGAAATATCTTCCCAAAGTGAACTTTCTAGCTGCAGTTGACAGCTAAGTGCTTCTGACAGGAGGTCTCTTGGTGTCTCCCCACTAAAGGGAAGTCTCCCTGTGAGAAGGAGGTACATCAAGATGCCGAATGACCATACATCTCATTTCTCATTATAGCTCCCAGTGATAGTCTCTGGGGACATGAATGAGGGAGTCCCTCATGCGGACCTTAGAATTTTTTTCTTTGAGAACACATTGGAGAGACCGAAATCTATAAGAGTAACGTGCATCTTTGTATCAACCATAATGTTAGCTGGCTTGATGTCTCTGTGCATAATATGCTTTGAATGTCAATGATTAAGGGCACTAGCCAACTGATAAAGCACACGAGCTGCTTCAGTTTCACTTAAGGCGAAACTGACCTTCTCGAGCATTTTAGAAAGGGTCTGTCCCTTGATGTAATCAGTGACAATGTACATATTTCCCTCATCTGCAAAAGATTCATAGTATTTGATGATATTAGGATGGTCGAGTTGACAAAGAACCTTGATTTCAGATTCGATCGACTTGACATCATCGTCAAACAGCTGCTTCTTCTTGAAAGCTTTGATTGCAACTTTGTTCTGAGAGTCTTCAATAGAGGTCCCTTTATAGACTTTGCCAAAGGCTCCTTCACCAATGACTCCATGACTTATACGATATTTCTCAAGTAGTTTTTCTCGAGCTTGGCCGATTTCTTTACAATTGGTAATTCTTAATTTCTTGTGTGAATTTGATGAACCCATGTTTATTGATTGGAATTATATTTAATGGTGTACTTTCTCAACAATTTATATATCCATTGGGGTTTTGGGGTTTTGGGGTTTTGGGGTTTTGGGG